ATACTAGTCCGGGTGCTCGGGTATGGTTTTACATAAAATTAAAATATATATGTCCGATGTAGGTAGGTACATTTAATATTTGTTTAGTCATGGTCTTATATTAGTTGTTATAATTCAGACAATTATTATTACTTGTTGTGAAATAGTAACGGATTAATATAAAACTGATATTAGTATTAGCAAACAATATCTGTCCCCTTTCCATTTTATCTAATCAGTTATTTAACTTTTTACCCAAATATAAGAAAAAAAATATTACATAATACATTTTATGGATACTGTAGCCACCATATCACTATATATCCGACCGGCTCACACACACACACACACACATTATTATTGTTTATTTTTATTTTATATTTGTTATCGAAATTATATTATAATATGCAGATTAGGTTGCGACGGAGGCCAGCATAAGCCGCCGAGGTGAGGAAGTTTAATTTTATTCGTTGCACACAGTCAACACATTATAATATATTATAATCGTCATGGAAATTAATTAATTTATTAATTGACTAATCGCCTGCAATTATTAATTCATACTTTTTATGGCTCAAATAGTCATACATTTTTGTATTTTCTGTGAGTGCTAATCGTCACAAAGTGCGTTTGTTATAAGCATATCGTATTGTTATTGTTAATTGTAACCGTGTGTGCAAATCGCCGCGGCACTTTATATTATTTTTCAAAGTGAATATTATTCTGTTATAAAGGCGAGAATCGCTGCATTTTATTATTGTCTGTGAACGCAAACTGCAAAGTGCTCATTTTTATATTATTTGTAATTATATTGTTTTAGTGTGTGCTATAAGCGCTAATGTGTGTTAATTTGTATTTTCGCTGTTCTCAATTTTATTATTATTATTTATATATAATATTATTATTAATAATATTAATATTATTGTACGATATACTCGACATTGCAAGACCACACTGCGATCCACTACAGAAGAGGGGCTTTTACGCCATATTTTGTTTTCTATTCATCCATCGTTTTTACAATATTATGTACTATTATGTTCAAGTATTGTTATTATTATGATAATATATTATTTTCAATGAGATTACAGCTGGTAAATATGGTTCCCCGCACATAACCACTACTGAACAAAATAAAAAAAATGCAGTTTGACCACACGTGCGTGGCACATATTATGCACATAAGACCAATACTTGAAATGTTTACGATTCGAAAATGAGCATTGAACTGTGTATAAAAAATAAAAATATAATAGATCTTTAAAGTATAGTGTATTATATAATATATGATTATATAAACTACAAATAAACGTATGCGGACAACGACCGAAGTGGCTTTGAAATCGTGCAGAGGTATACCTACCTACTCGCAAACATCAAACAATCCACTCGATGAGTATAAAGTATCGATTTTTAATATTTTTCAGTAAAAAATTGTATTTCCTGAAAAATATATATTTTTAACGAATTATTAGTATTTTGTGTATAGATGAATCCAAGCACGATGCAAATGTATTTTTATATTATTTATGTTTTATAGCTTTAATATATGATATCCTATATATTATGTAGTAAAAAATTCTCAAAGAAAACGAAGGTTACATATTTTGTGGAATAAAAGCGGTATAGTCTAATATCGGTAATGATATATGGTAACCCATTTCACATGCACTTTAGACCACTGCAGCAGACCGTGGTCATAATAATTATAATACACGTAGTATGACGTACATTCTGAGTTCTGACGTTAAGCATTAAAACATTCAACCATCGAACTTTGTCGGTTTTCGAATATCAAAAAAAAAAAAAAAAAAAAAAAAAAAACAGAAGATTATTAGCAAAATTAAAAACGAAAACAACGTACAACGTATCTACCTATATATATTATAATATATCACTGACATTACGAACGAACGTAATATAAAAGTATTTTAGATTAAAATTACTCGTGGCTTGAGGGAAACCGACCTGAATGTATACGGCATCGCCAAAGGTTCCACTAGGAATTATTTATGAAATAATATATTATAATGATGGTCAGGTATAATATACCTATATATGCATACTCGTTATTCATATTAAAACAAGCTTTCGTATTTATAGCGGACCCAAAATATTATTATGTTATACAAGAGTGTACTGCGACGAACATACAGACCTATACATATAGATATAAGTACACATACATCAGCATTCAGCAGCATACATAATAAATAGTATACTGCTATTTATAATTGTCGGACACAACATATTATACATGAAAGCATAGATGCGGACTACGGAGGCTTGGAAATCTTAGAATTGTTGATAGGATTGCACACTATTTCATTCACCTAGCAGTACCAATGACCAGAAAAATCCCATCACAGCTGATTATATTTTGCTAATAACACAGTCATAGTTGCCGCTGAATTACAGCAATCTGACCAACAAGTCTTTGATAGAATCTCGGAGACGTCTGCCTCTCGATTGCCCATTCACCACTCTACTCAGCACCACATTTAGTGGGGGGGGGGGCACTGGCTGCAACTTCCCCGGGCATCAGTATTTTGGGGTGCCAACATTTTATGGTCGGAAATTTGTTGACGTGTGAATTATTAAAACTTTTAAAATTGAAATTATTTCAACAACAGTATCATATTATGATATTAACGTATTATTCTGTTTGAAATGTAAGCAACTTTAATGTATTTATAGCAATATAGCCATCGAGAATTATAAGTATACTTTATAATAATTCCTTAAGAGGACTCTACACCCGCATGCGTTCTCTGTCGTACAACATAGCAAATTGTAAGCTCAGCAGATCCCGTTTAGCTGTGTTAGTTTAAAAATTAGAGTAAAACTGACCTCTTGTAAAATTCAAAGGTACGATTATTATCTAGGGCATCTCATATGATTTTTATTACTTATATTTTAATTTCGATGAGGGTTATGAGTATTTGAAAATCGTTAATTGATGGTACATCTTAAAATACTCATAAGTCATAACTAACTTTAAAATTAAAATATAATGAAAATCCTATGAGATATTGAGATGCCTTAGATAATAATCTTACCTTTAAATTGTCTAAGGTTTAAATTCACTCTAATTTTTAAAATAACGGATCTAAACGTGATCTGCTCAGTGTGAAATGTTAGGCACTTGTAATACGGAGACAACAAAAGTCGGTATAGCTGCTACTCTGTAGCGTCCTCTAAATACTTTTCCCAAATTTGCTGGTATTCAAATATTCAATACACAGAAGTTAATTATAATGATATTTTGCTATCACTTGCGGCGTGCCTGCTACAAAAGTACAATAAATTATTAGTCAACAAACCCAAGTTACTGCATTATTTGTGAAATCTGTGATTACTGATTAATAATATTTTTTTCACTGCTCGGTAATCGGCTATGTTAATTACTTATTATATATTTTTTTTATAGTATTTTAATTATGACAGCAAAAAAAGTTAAGTAGTTATAAAAATCGTAAACAAAACTTTGTTGATAGACAAAAAACAAATTAATGTTATTAACAAATTTAGAAAAATTCAAGACATGTTTTAAAAAACATAAGAATATTAATTTGCATAGTTTATATACTTTTATTAAATGTATTTTTTATTATATTAGTGTGATCCATGAAGTAGGTACGTAAATATGTAAAAAAAGAAAAACAACTTATATTATGAATTATAAGCAGGACTCAAGTGATATACACTCAATCACACCTTTGCGGGGAGGAGGGTTAATGAAATTATTGGACAATATTTTTTAGAAAAAAACACTTTTGCAAAACAAATATTCTTGTTTTTCCTCAAAATCTAAAAGTTTCATGAGAATCTATAACCCTAATTCCCCATGGGCTCTTTACGAGGGTGCCAATTTTTTTTTGCACCGGGGCTCAAAATGTCTAAATGCGATTCTGCCTCTACTGTGAGCATACATGGGTAGGTAAGCAACACGTATATGCGTGGTGAGGTTTTTGCTACTACGAACCAGAGTGGTCACCCATCCGGGAACTAGTATCAGTGGACGTTACTTACTCTCATTCATATTGCGTGACTGGTAGCAGCCAACTTGGTGCGCCATGCTACATACCCATTTTTATAAAATATAGGTTTTTTATTAAATTTAAACAGTACCTAGATAACAATAATCAAAAACTATCAAGGTATAATATAATAATGTAAACCGTAGCTTTAATAAGCAAATGTTGTAATATCTTACATAATTAGTATGTAATAAAAATAATAGTACATATATATAATATATTATATTAGTAATTATATTAATATATTAATTATAGGTTTGTACTTGGAGGGTTGTTCCAAAATATAATTACAGTACTTAACCCGTAATTCTCAATACCCATATTTATTCAGTGATGTTAATAAAATAAATACGATTTTAAATGTATTATCGAAATTAAATTTGAATTGTATCCAATTATTAAATCTAATTTAAACGCAGAATTTCTTTGTGTACAAGACAACGATTTATCTTGGAGGTAATTTGTCTAAATTGTTATCTAAATAAATATTAGTTAAATAATGAATGATTGTAATCGTGTAGACTAAAAAAATGTAGATTTTGTTTGTAGATTTATATGAATTTAATTGCAATAATGTATTTGATATAAACAGCATTTGACATTGATGTTATGTATAAAGTATGAGTGCTATACCCAAGAGTAGTGCGCAGGTAGACATAGGCCAACAGAATGCTGTTCTTGAAAATAATTTCATCAAATAGGTAGTTACATAAATACATGTGCAGAGTACATGTGAACATGCAGCAAGTACTTTCTTTTGAATATTTGAGAAGAAAAAAGTAGGCAAGTACCTACTTAAAAAATAATTGATAAATCATTTTTTCACAATATTTTGTTATAATAATACATGTTGTCGTATTGTATTATTGGGATAAAGACGAATATCGTTGGGTATTTTTTTTATAAAGACAAACGCGTATATTTGTTTATTTATTTTTAATAATTGTAAAAATTTAATAAAAATACTCAATAAACACCGATATGCGATATAAATGGCAGTACCTACAGCTTATAATCCCATCCCACACCAATTCTTCCCTCATAATGAGCGATTCTCTTAGTGCCCTCATATCACTTCAAGACCAATACCCTCAGAACGAACTTATTCAACTCATCAAAGAATGTATCTCATCATCGAAAAACAAATTTAATTTCATGTGGGTCCCATCACACGTATGTATCCCTGGGAGCGAGAAATCGGACTTAATGGCGGAAGAAGCGGTCACTTCTGGATCTACCCCCTCCATAACCAAAACCATCGCCAAAGCCCAAAAACGTATACTCACATGATGGAAAAACCACTGGGATGACATTTCAACCAGTAACAAACTAAGGAACGTCAAAAAAACTGTTACAAAATGGTCATACCCTGAAAATGCATCAAGGAGATCTAGAATAGACCACTCCAATATTACCCACTCCTACTTAATTACTACGGAACTAAGACCAATATGCGACTCATGCAATATTCCCCTTACAATTGAACACATAGCCATCAACTGCCCCAAATTCGCATCTTCACGTCATCTCCTCAAAAATCCTACAACACTGGAAGAAGCATTCAGCCAAAACAACACCGCCAATATTTTCAATTTTTTTAAATCATTTGGTTTAGATGATAATGTTCCTGTATCTATATAGTATAGGTTTCTTTTTCTCTGTTTAATATTGTATAAAAATTTTGGTTTGTAAATAACACTAGGCTAATGATCTTTGTAATTGAAGCCGTAAAATAAATAATAATAATAAAAAAAAAAACACCTTGTCAGAGTAACTATTATTTGGCCACGGTACAATCGTTAATCCCCATGTACCTACGGTATAATTGCTTGGTGTGGTTGTAAAACTACCTAACATTTAACTTACCAGTTGCACAAAAAAATTTAATAAATAGGCGACCCCAAATAATTTCCTTCAAAAGAGTTATTCAAAGTATTACGAGTATACTCGATAGTTGATATTAATAAGTTATACAAAACACACACTCTATAGTCTATCTTTAAAAGTTAAAACTAAAAACAACCATACAATACCAAGAAAACATTTATAAAAATACAATTTATTAATTATAAAAAACTTCAAACACGTACTTACAGGTGAGTTTTGAAGTCTCTAGATATGATTCTAGTGTTATATTAAGTTAAACTAGGTAGTTATATAAGCTAACAATAATGGTTATACTCTTATTTGTATAAGAAGAAAAAAAGAAAATATATTCATATTTCTTACATTATTCTAATAATTATTAATAAAATATTCATCTAAAATTATTTTCCATTTAAAATTTTGTTTTTAACAATACCTACCCGTAAAAGGTTTTCTTTTTTAAGCTCTTGTTTTTCTCTCTATTTATAATTTCTGTTGTTTTCATAGGTTTTAGATAATTAATACTCTTGCTCCCTGCTAAGAGGTTTTACCTGAGTGGAGAGCAATGCTAGATATTTCTATTTGTATATTATTATAATGACTTACGTGTATGCGATCGTATTATAATTCTTGCAATAAAGAAAATGTGGATTATTAAAAATATTTACCGTTTAAGTATTTTGTATTTTCCATGTGCACAGGTGTGTATAAGCTTTTCAGAGATTTTTCTTATACCTACAATTTTATATTATATCAAGTACCTTTTACTACATGAAATTATATATTTTTATTTACGTTTGAAACTTTCATATGTTTGTAATATTATACACCCCAGCCGATGATAACACTGCAGAACACGTATACGCGTCGATATAATATGTGTATTATATCGTTGACGTGTGATTAAATTAATATCGAAATCTAGCTGAATTGTAAGCAGGTAGATAAATGAAATTGTATTATTTTATCCACAAGACAACCAATGCGAACTGCACACGCTGTGCGCTTGCATGACTACTATATTATATAGGTACCAACGAAAGCGGCAACAATAAGGGTGACGGCGACTGCGTAGCTACAAATTATATTGTTATTACTATTATTATTATTATTAAGTAGGTAGGTATAATATTATTATAGCGTTTCGCATTAATGTATCCCGTGCGGCCTACAGGTGGAAACGAATTTCCGGTGGTAAACGCCTGCGGCCCGGGGCATTATATTATTATTATACATTACACACACACACACACACACACACGTCAGAGGAATTAAGTGATAATCAACGTCCAAATAATAATAATTATTATTATTATATAATACACGGACGTGGTGGTGGCGGCGGCGGTCGTGGGAGCGCATTTGCGGTGGGTGGGGGTGGGGGTTGTACAAGACTGTGCGCGATAGGTGCGACGATGTACGGCGACGTCGTCGCGGTGGGTGGGTGGAAGATCTCGTGCACAGTCCATTATTCAGACGCAATAATCCCGATAATGCATTAATACCCCTTAGAATAAGTTTTCGAACGGCTAAGGCCTCGGGATTATGGTGTTTGATTAATTCGCGCGCCTCCACCGCCAACCCATCATCGTCGTCTCATGGCACGACGAACGGCCATGCCAGCTACTGTGATGTGGCGCGAAACGTATCGTCGTCATGGCGTGGCTGTCGTCTCCCCGTGATTTTCGGTCCCACGAATTACGAGCTCCTCTTCCTGCGATGCAGTGTTCGTTTTTTTTTTTTGTTTTTTTTTTTTGTTGGGGGGGGGGGGGGGTTATGGACGATTCCGAATTGCAGGGATGAAATTTAAAACGCCGAATTTGGTATGCCGAATTGCTGAGCGAAATGTTGTTATCATCCCCTCTCGCCAATGTAATATATTTTTATCCGTGCAGTATAGGAGGTACCCGTGATACGAATGTGACAAAAAAAAACTTTTGTCTAATAGTTGACTAATAGTAATATATTTTAGGATTTTTTTTTAATTATTGTTATTTTCAATTTTTTGGGAAAGTGTCTTTTTTCCATTTCGTATTGAAATCGCACTACTCGAGGCAGAACTACTGGGCCTGAAGAACGTGACACGTATCGCCGTATCGGTGCTGCTATCGAATCGGTCGTGTGAGTAGTAAAATTAAAATAAATAGTAAAGTAAATATACTATTTTATTCTGCTCAAGCTGGTCCGATTAACTTGTTAAATTTAATTATATTGTTCATTTACTGACATTTTTCTACGATTGTATTACTATATACCTGTATATAGTGTATACCTATTACAATTACTGTTTTTTTTTCTTTTACTTCATAGAACAGCTGATGAATATAACATAATATATTATTCGACATAGTTATTAATATCACGATTAATAATTTCACAGCAACACGTTTTTGATGCAGCTCCATAATAACCCCTCAGGTGGGGCAGATCCCCCCCCCCCCGGCGAGGTGCTTTTGAACCGTTGTAACTTAAAACTCCTGCAGTTGCCCGCGCACGGCCAAAAACGAAAACCCAAAGCTCTTATTATGAGATATAATATTATGGCGTAGAACTAGAACGGCTCAGTACTCACTGTTTAATATTAATAATAATAATACACGAAGGACCGACTTCGTGTGCGAGACAATAGAAACGTATCATATAGTCGTGTAACACGCGTAGGTATAATATGCTCTCGACGTCACACTCTCCACTTGCACACTGCGTGTAATCGCACATATGTGGTATTATAAAATATAGCTCGAAAATCGGTGTATAATACGTATTATATTATTACTATTATTATTATTATTATTATTACACACGTACGTTACGCGTGTGTGACGTCGCATTCCCCGTTGGTAAAAATCTTTATTGCATGTACACTGTATAATATAATATATATTACAGTATGCACGCCGTTAATGACGTACGACTCTATAATATAAGGTCGAGAACTCTGTGTCGCATCGTCGTACTATATTATATTATGTTGTAGTTTAAGCTGTGCTCGAATAATGATGAAAAAAGAGTAAGAGGGCCGTGGTTCGTACAATACCGTTTTGAGAGTCGCATGTGCAACCGGAAAAATTATTTGAAAAAAAAAACCCTCACCACGATAGATATTAATAACCTCATAATTATTATTATTAATAACCCATTTTGATAATCGGCATAATGAAGAGTACAAACAAATCAAATTTATTTTAAGTTAACTCGAAAGACTATATTAACTTTTGGTGATGAATAAATTTGAAAAATCGTAACTGACATATTGGTTAATCTATTAATTACTTATTGGAACGCTGCAGCAGTATTAACTTTAATGACAAATATTGTATTATTAAGAGGCTGATGTAATTTTTTTTCTCATTATCGCTGTAGGAAAATTTTTATATTAGACACTCGGATAACTGTTAATATGTTAACAACAATGGACACTAAGTAACGACATTTACAAAAATACGAAACTATTAAAACGACCTAGCAACGACTTTTACACTTAGAGCGTACCATCGCTGGATGTTTTCCCTCATCTTGTGTTTCATGTTGTTTTTTTTTTTATATGTATGTATATAGTGTTATATCTGTTATCAATTCTGCTTATTGTGTAATATTATACAGACTGTAGATTTTCTAAATTAATAAAAAAAAAAGGTTTTTACACTAGAAAGATGAACGAAAAATTGATTTGATTCCATAAGCTAAATTTTTTTCACGTGATAATAAGAAGTCATTTCGTAGCAAAAAATTGTCCAGAAATATTCAAATAAAACAATGAAAATATACATGTCTCTGAAACCAGAAATCCTTTAATTTATCTCCTGTAACTGGTGGGATAACGACTTTTACAGAAAACATAACTATCGTTGTTCTATTCAATATATGAGACCTATTATACCTAAAATAATACCTAAATAATACCTTAATACAGTTATACATACTGGTATTATATGTAAGCTGTTGTATAGCTATTATAGGATTATAACATTAATATAATATTGGTTTAGGTACTAAAACGTTTATGAAAAGTACAAATTATATTATACATTCATTTATTATATTTATCATTATTTAAAAAAAAAATTAATGATTTGAAAACTTATTTCCATTACAGTGCCTATTATAAAATTAAGTAGGAAACAACATGAAGTATAATTATTTAAATAACTTCAGCGTTAAATTATAAGATCAGTTATTATAGGTACAGGCTTTATGACAAGCACTCTCGTCTAATCACGAATTGAGAATTTATTTAGTACGCGTTTACTGTTTATAATGACTGCAGACACTATAAAAATGTATTTTTTTAAGTGAACAACGCGGGATATATTTCTGGAAATATTTGTATTATTAAAAAAAAAAAAAAAAAATATATTTAAAAAACTTCCAAACATTTTGCAATTTTTTTCATAATAATTTTTTGATACATATCATTGATACAT